GGCTATTGGATTCAACTCTTTAATTATTTTATGCGATAGATTTATTCGAAAACGTACCATAGGCTTCCAATTAGTTAATAAGTTATCTCGATTGATTTGATAAATAAATATACTAATATTTAAAGGAACTGTGTATAATAAAAAAATATCTAATAAAAATCTATCAGTCAAACCTGAATAAGTGAGTGCTCAAGGGACCGCGATATCATTTTGACTTATAGAGGTTTCACACTAACCCTAGTTTTTAGCTTACAGAGTTACAGAAGGGGTCTGTCTCACATATAGTGGTCTATATACCTAACTATAGAAAACAATAACAGATATTTGGTTTGAATTCAATAATAGTCCCTTGATATTTAAGAATAAGTCATATTGTCGCTTATAGACGTATGGGCAAGTATCAATCACACTTATAGAGGTTCACGAGTGAAAATAAACTTAAAACTTATACAGGTTTCATGCTTCTCACTTACAGAGGTAGAGGAGGGCAAAATGACGGAACCCGGAAATTTTTTCTCATTAACGGAGGTTTCTCGATTACCCAGTTCTCACTTACTCAAGTTTGACTGTAGTTTAAATTCTCTACGTGGTTTGTTGTTTTTATACAAATAGTTTAACTTTTAAAGAGGCAGAAGACAATTTCTGCTTAAATCAGAAGTAAACTAGAATGCTAGAGTAGCTATTTTGTGAATGTTTATCACTTTTGTAGTGTCTATTATTAATAATACGTAATTTCTGATATACCTAATTATTATATATTTATTATCAACGTTTTTAGTTCATGTAGTTTAAAATTTAAGCATTTTATTTTAAATCGACGTTAAAAAAGTAATTAAAAATTGATGTTGAACTCTAGCCTAACAAATGATATAATATATTTAAATGTTTTCCATAAATACTTTCTAATCTAAGATCTAGAGTCGTAGCGCTAAGTATTAAATCCCTAAGGCTGTCATCCGTTAGTTACAGTCCAATCTCTGATTTAGGTTGAATATACACTAAAATCATCGTACATATTTTTGTAATAAGCAATTGCAAAAATAAACTTGTACTATTGCTACTACTATTAACATCAACCAAACAAATTAAGTAAAACAAGAAATTTGGTGCATTTTTAGTTTTGTTGGTTTTTAGTTATACATAATCAGTTACTAGATCAAATAGGGCTGATAATGTAAATAGGCCAGTCATTATAGACATTCGAAATCGAAAATTTGATAATAATTCCAAAAGTTTTCAAACTTCGGTCAAGTGAATGGTACATTGGGACGACAATAAATCTCATTTTGCAACCTTGTCCGCAGTCCGGAACATTGTTAAAATTGCAATTAAATTAATTTTTGCTGTATGGTCGTGAAAAAAATTCCAAAAGTTCTGCAAACTTGGGGAAGTTTTCGATATAATATTTCATATCACGTATAAAATTTGCAACCAACCTAAGTGTACGGAACATTTTTTGTTATTTATTTTATTTTCGATATATCTGTCAAATTTGCAGAACTTTTGGAACGTTTTCCTTCAGTTTAATAAAGAAAAACATTAATTTTTAATAACAAAAAAATGTTCTGTACACTTAGGTTGGTTGCAAATTTATACGTGATATGAAATATTATATCGAAAACTTCCCCAAGTTTGCAGAACTTTTGGAATTTTTTCCAAAACTTATTTTTAACAAAGTTCCGGACCGCAGAGAAGGTTGCAAAATTTTATAGTTTGTTTTAATACCACTCCCGACCTTACATCAAAATTTGAAAACTTTTGGAATTATTATGAATTAATTGTCTTGACTGACTGGTCTAAAAGCTAAGAAAAATATATGTACTCCTTGTTATAAGTTTAGGCGTGTTTTATTATCGTCTTGACAATTGTTATTTAATTGTTAGATAAACTAACTATTTAGCACTCTTACCAGTGAAGGACATTGTCAAGGTTAGTATCGATTTGGTGATATCATCACTTCCTTACAAGTCACAGTATAGAAAATTATTTACCTATGCGCCTTGAAATATGATAGTTGTGATAGCTCGGCTATATCGCCGCAATATCTATAACCGATTTGGTTCGAAATATGTACTAGTATTACCCTTTAAGCAGGACTAAATGTTATAATTTTTTCCCCTATTTCAGAGAATTAAAAAAGCGAAAATGATAGAAATGCCGGCTTGCCTTAGACCAAAAATGTCGACGGCGTGTGTCAGGCACAGGAGGCTGATCACCTACTTGCCTATTAGATTAACAAATAATCATGAAACAGACACAGAAATCTTAGGCCCATACCTAAAAAGGTTGCAGTGCCACTGATTTATATTTCTTTTATATTGCCTTCTCAGATTGCTCTCATATATATATATAGAGGTTTTGCGTAGTGATAACAGCTAATACACGAGAACTGCAGTCAACAGGTGAATAGTGCTGGATTTCGAATGCATATTTTGTTTATTAAAAAAATCAATGAAAATCAAAGAATAATTGCATAAAACTTTACATAAAAACAATTTAGATATGTTTTTAACGCTGGTTATAATTCACAACTAAAGATGTGAACCCCCTTATTTATAAACCCTAAATAATTATGATCTTTAAATAGCAAATAAGGCGATATATTTAATTTTCTCTATTACGGCTTAAACATTGTGTGAATAACACCAAATGTACTAATTCGATTACTAATGTTATATTGGATTTGTTTGAAAGCTAAAAAAAGAAAACATTAGATTATACCTATATGATTCTTGTGTTAAATATTCCTTTAGTTCCTATATAAAAGTGTGGTGTGCTAAAAGCAAACAAAAGTCACTCCTTTATCGGAGATCCTTTGTTCTTAAATTCATTGTAAGCCTTCTTATCGCTATTTAAGTGTAAAATTAAAAAAAATGAGGTGCGGATGTCGAAAACCCACACTTGATTGCAGTTTTAAAAACGGATACAGGATGTACTAATGTGTTATCAGGGATTAATTTTCTTTCATAAAATAACATCGGTCGGTGAATGTAAATTTATGATTTCATTTGTTATTTATTGAGATTGTTTTATTGATTATACGGAATATTTTATTTTGATTCAATTATTAATATAATTGAATTTTGGTTTAATTATTAATATAATTGAATTTTGGTTCAATTATTAATATATAATAATTCATATCTATATTGCTGTCGTGTAGTCTGAAATTTAAATTCTGTACAAATATATAGTTTTTTTTAATTTCATGTATGAAATATTTCAGATTGAATAGTCTTTAAATGAAATAATAAAAAAATGCGTTCCGTGAATTAAAAGGCTCGGTAAAAGGGAAAATACTTAATCAAATAAATTAATAAATGGAGAACTACAATTTAACATTATATGATAATTATTTTAGTAGGTAATTAATACCGTAACAATCTAAATAAACCTATTACATTATATTAAAACCTTATGATTTCTGATTCTTAGAATAATATTTAAAAAAAACAACATGAGACATTAAGCACATTCGCCGCAAAGTCTATAAATATTAAATATAAAATTATCACCGGTAAACCGGCAAATCTTGTGCATGTGAAAAAATACAAAACCGGCTCCTCCTAATAAACTATGTATATCAAATAAATATTTAACTATACGTTACATACAGCCACTATATCAAAACACAAGTTGGATCACAAAATCACTGCATTGTTCTTAACTTTTTTGGTCGTATTTGTTCATCACGACACGAAAAGGTTTCGGTCTGTCTTTGACAAAGCCATAAGTATAACTAAAGAGTTTGTTGCAAGACAACCTGCAGGCCTCAGGTAGGATTTTCACGTCGGTATTACCCAACCGTTTTGAATAGGCTCTTTTTCAAAGCCTCCATATAACACCATGTAGCACTTTAAATATAACAACATAATAACAAGATGAACCTGCATTACCGCGCTATAACGGCTGAGAAAGACAAAGAAAACTTTTATATGCAACTTGAGGAGATAAATTGTTAATAATATACAGGGCAAAGAGAATATTACGATTATGCTATATTTAAATGAGTTACAATGATAAAGAGAACTTTCAGCTGTATGTAAAATAATGTACTAATTTTGGGAATATTTTTTTAAATAATTGAGGTTTTGGCGTCTATGAAATGCTGTCCGGCCCACGTTTGACGTTCGGTGACGTCATTATTTTAGAATGTGTAGTTGCGCACACAGGTTCAAACAAGGTCGTCTCTTTCTTACCCTCTATTCCCATAGGGGCCTAACTCAAGGATTTAGTGCACTCTTCAGTTCACTGCTCCCGTTTCTTCTCGCGCGGAAGCCTCCGGAATTATTTTTTATAGCATGACAGCGATAATTACTATTATTACCTTTAACTGACAATGCAGGCCACTTAAACCTTGTGCTATTTTAAGTTAGACGAGTAACCGTCGTGGGATGAGCCAGTTTTTCTGTTTATGAATAATTGTACCTCCTTTTTTAAGGACCTGTTTGTTCGTAAAACGCACCAACCGTTATGGGTTCCATTTTTTGCTTAAGATAATATATACTTGTTTCGGTCTACATTTTACAACGTGACATTATTAACAAGTTAGCAATTAATTTTAATAGGCTTCATTCTTCTTTACCCTTTATACAACATTAAATGAACTATTTGTAAATTGAGCTCGAAGGTAAACTTAATATTAAATTTCCTACTTTTGGTTAAAGTGTGTGGCCGAGTTTAAATTTAATATAGAAGAGTGCAGAGGATACTAGTTTCCGACAAGCAAAACATAGTTATCTGCTCAATGTTAATGTATGTTTTAAATTATAATCTAAAATATATTTACTCCATAAAGTGAATATAGCAACGTAGTAATCAAATCAAACGTAGTATCATGGATACTATTTCAAAATATGTATGTCTAAAAATCTAACTCACCTGATTCATATTTTCATAGTTTATTAAATCGCCTCTGAAAAAAAAGAAAAATAACCATTGTCTTATTTAATATTTACTAGACTTCGTAGATAAATTAAAAAAAAATAAGGAACGGTTTCTTACCGAGAATGAAGTTTTCTAATAACAGGCATTTGTGGAGTACTGTCATGTATCCTTACTTGGGTAGGATCAATTTCTTTACATTCTTCATCATCATAAGAATTTTGAGGTTTCGATAGTATAGAATCCATAAACGGACTATATACATTATTTGACGTTCCTAAGATATCGTCTATATCAGTATAGCGTGATATGTATTTCGCATTTTTTGAATAGGACATATTTCGTCTTAAATATTTATTATTTTCATAGGGTGAATGGCGATTTGTATATATTTCTGGTTCATTCGGACTTTCCAAGCCTTCTGGACTTCTACGGTCACCTAACGGCTCATCGTCTGGTAGATTTAAGGGGAATCGAGGTATTTGGGATGATGGAATATATACTTCGACCTCGTCTGAATCAGAAGATTCACTCTCTTCTTGTGGTGGAGGTGTTGGAAGCTTTTCGATACCCTCTGGAATGTTTTTATCGCTAGACAACCACCACGGTCTTTCTCCCGACTCTATGTGGCGTATTCTTCGAAGTGAAAATATTCTTTGGTCTGAACCAGATCGATTTAACTTAATATTTTCCTCCAAATCTGTATTGTTCTTATTTTCAGTATTTGTATGCCACCAGTCCCGCTGTTCCCCAGATTTGTTATTACGAAGCTTATTGACTTCAAAAATATCACTCTTTTCTTCTTCGCTAGAAGATCTTCTTGGTGGTGTCAACCTTTCTATACCTTCGGGTATGTTTGCACTACTATCTAACCACCAAGGCTTTTCTTCATCAATGTATAACAACTTCTTTGTATCTTTAAAGTCATTGTTTTCTGATATTTTAAAATTAGCTTGTTTTTCGTTGCTGTTTTGTGCGCAACCATCAATAACGCGAGATTTTTCATTATTCTCATTAATATTTTTAAAACTCTGATCCGATTCTAGCCACCATGATCTTTCATTAGATTCGATTCGTCTGATAGCTTTCAATCTTACTAGACTATCGTCGTTAGAAGCAATAACACTATTTGTATTACATTTATTTTTCCTTGATGAACTTTCAGAATTTAGCATTGATATATCTTTTGAGATTGGAACAGAAGTATAGTTATCAGCACATTTATTATTTTCATTCGACTCTTGGTTTCGGAGTTTAAACAAATTTGTGACTGGTGCAAGAGCACGTATTAAAAATGATTTAGCTTCTTCGGTACCATTATCAATTTTTTGTTGAAATGTGCTTGAGTTATTATTTGATGCATCGGTTGAAATGGATATCGAGTCTGATGTCTTTGATTTAGAAACATTTTCATCTTCACTAATGGAAGACGATAAAGACATACTAGATTCCAAGCTGTTACTTTCTATTGCCTTATTGGAATTAATGACACCATTTTGCACTTTATTATTGGATTTTGATTTTTTCAGCTTGGTAAGTTTATTTGTATTATTCGGTTTTTCACTTCCAGGATCCGAATCACTTGAACTCAAAGATTTACTTCTTTTTTTCAAAAGTTTCTTTGTTGAATTTGAGTCTGATGAAGAGTCTGTGCTTGATTTACGTTGTTTAATTTTTTTGATTTTATTAGTTGTCTCACTTTTTGGAGGCTGGGGTGGCAATTGGCTGTTCGTTATGGTGATTTCTGGAGCAATAAGTTCCGTGACTGACACAGAAGATGGACTTTTAGCTTTTTTTAACTTAAGATTTACGTTTATTATTATTTCTGAAGTTTCATCATCTTTATCCTTATCATACACTATTATATCTTGAGCATTTTTGTTACATATAGTATTATTTTCTTCACAGTCGGTATCATTCATACCCTTTTCTAATGACAAGTTACACTCATTACTGTCTGGTATTGATGGCTCTTTACTTCGACTGCGACTACATCTGTCTCTGTAAGAATTTTCACGTAAGCTAGAATATTGTGTTGAGTAACGCCCAGCATATCCCGTGTAACTAGGTACATTAGGAGAATAATAAGTCCAATTTGTGACACTACTTCTAGTTGAACCTGCAAATCGGCTAGACCTTGTTGGATCATCTAATCTGTCTGACTGAATTTCTTTGTCATAACATAGAGGTCGTTCTTTTTTCCTAGTTATAACTTTTTCTATAGTTTTTGCGAGATCTGCTCTTCTATTTCGAACATACGATGACGAACCTGGCGGTGTAGGAGATGTATGTCGTGTTATTACTGTGATAGTCTCTAACTCTTCAGTTTCACTTGGCGATTCTTCTTTCTTTTGCACAACGTCATTTTTAACATGGTTTTCTTTTATGATAGTGTCTTTATTAGGTGTTATAAATTTATCAGGATCCGATTTAATATTATCAGAAAAATTTATTGGTGACAAAGTCGGTCTCTTAATTGGAGTAGGACTCCTTAAATAAGATGAAGAAGATAAGCGATTGGCAATAGCGTATCTATTCACTGTTATTTCTGGTTTCGTTTCAGTTTTTGTGGAAGAGCGGTTATAACTTGGTTCAGTTTTTTCTATTCTGGTGCTAGGTCGAGAGTAATTAATGTCCGTTTTTGCTTCTGCTCTAGAACCAGGACGGGTATAACTAACTTCTGGTTTTGAATCTGTTCTGCTAACAGGGCGAGAATAATTTGACTGGCGAGGATATATTTTGTAGTTCGACAGACTGCTGTAGCCTGGAGCCTTGTCAGTCTTTGTTGGAATGTCTTTATCACGATCCGAATGTCCAATTTCTTTGTTTTTATCTTTGTAACTTTTTGTGATTTTTCTATCTAGACTGGGGCCAGGGCTTGCCTGACGTTTATATTTAGAGACACGAGACACGGATGTTACGGGGCTAACGTCTCTGCTTTTACTAGAGGTAACTGATGGAATTGATAATTTTGTATAGTCTTTCTTCTCATATTTCAATGTTGTTGTGGGTTTTTCTGTATTATTTTTACTGTAGCTTGCATATCTATTTGTAATTGCACTAATGGGTGTCTCTTCTCTAGAATTGCGGTCAGAAGCAACTGGAATACTAGAACTTTTTATAGATGATGTCGTAGTATATTTTGTAGTAAGTGCTGTCGGTCTGTCTGTAGTTGAACTCGATAACCTTCCCGCATCTCTGTTCCTACCGTAGGATGATGAATCATACTGAAAAATAAATTGTCTAAATAAATGAAGGTTTTAAAGTTTAAAAATTCGGTATTTATAAATTGTCAGTATAAACAGACGTCGACGCTACGTGGTTGGTTTTGAACATCGAAATATATAAAGGTTAATTGTCGCAAGATCCTTACTCAACAATATACAGGGTGGCCAAAAAGATCGTGGATCAAACGCAAATAGGGGATAGATGAGGTCATCAGCGGCAAAAAATTGTTCTACGGGAGGTCTCTAAGGTCAACCCCTGCAGAGTTATGATTTATTTTGGTTTTTATATGAAAATTGACTTTTTTTTACTAATTCTTATTAAAATTCGAAAAAAATCTACATCCTGTATCTTTTTCATAATATCCACTAGATTGGTACTGATGAGTTCTTGCGTTAGATATACTATTTATAGTTGTTTATTGAGTGTATTCAAGATAATATTAAGTGATACGATATAACATTTTTTCAAATCATAAATTTTTCTTTACTTTGGACCCCACTGTGAAAAAAAATTACTCCACCGAAAAGTGTCCCTGTACTACAAGTTTTGGCGCATTTAATAGGGATTCTGAAAAGGTATTACACGTGGTCATGAGTCGCTCTTATATCTTTCTAGGAAGAATTACAAACAACGATTGTGAAATAATAATTGTATTAAAACAATTATTTCTCAATGGTTGTTTGTAGGAAACAATATATTTTACAATAAAATATGCTCAAAATTCCTGACTCTGACCATAATACTTAATCTGTACCGTCTAAACAAATTCCTAAGTAACCCTCCAGCCATCTGTCCAATTCTTTGAATCTAGTCCGATTCACACAGTACTGGTCACAGGTAGGTAAATAATCTATCATAAGTCCGAATCGTTGTTGTTTTTTCCTCCTAGAAAGATATTAGAGCGACTTATGGCCATGTGTAATACCATATTAAATGCGCCAAAACTTGTAATATAGGGTCACTTTTCGGTAGAGTAATTTTTTTTCACAAATAAACAAAAAGTTTTGATTTGAAAAAAATTTATATCGTATAACTTAATATTATCTTCTATACACTCAATAAACAACTATAAATAGTATGTCTAACGCAAGAACTCATCAGTACCAATCTAGTGGATATTATGAAAAAGATACAGGATGTAGATTTTTTTCGAATTTTAATAAGAATTAGTAAAAAAAAGTCAATTTTCATATAAAAACCAAAATAAATCATAACTCTGCAGGGGTTGACCTTAGAGACCTCCCGTAGAACAATTTTTTGCCGCTGATGACCTCATCTATCCCCTATTTGCGTTTGATCCACGACTTTTTTGGCCACCCTGTATAGTTAATCCTTTCATAAATTTATTCGAAACTTTTATGATTAAAGCAAATTAATCTACTAAATGTGTATAGTAAAGCTAAAAGTAAAAAGAGCAGTAATTTCCTTCACAAGTATATAATTAAATAATAACAATAATACTTACATAGTTCCGGAAAGACATTACTTCTGACCTAACCTTGTCCCCATAAAACACTCGTCACGTTGTAATTTCTGAAAACAATAAATTTTACCATATAAAAATGCAATACGAAATAATATTATTGATGATATATGTGATACAGTTTTCCCTACCCCAGCTGTAGACTTATGATCACGCAACAGATACATACATCTGAGATCTGAGATAGATTAAGATTTTTAATTACCCTTAAAAACGACCCGTGGCTAATTTAACTGGAGTGGAAAGTTTTTTAAAAACATCCTTTTATATTTTGTACTTGTATCCTGGCCAACCTTATTGATTGATGATTATTTTAACAAACTATAATACTTAAATCGACTTCACAATCTTTTAGCCTCTTATGTATTATTTCAAATATCTAAGCTGGATAAAACGTTAACCAAATCTGGTCGGTTTCTTTACGAATAAAACCGATAGTCCATATTTGTTATTGACGCACTGAAATTATAGAAAATATATAACATTAGATGGTAACTGAATATCAAGTATAGAGTCTCCACTGACACTGATCCCTTGGTGTTACGTAGAGATGTGGGGTCACTCTGCATCTTCTACCCCATTTACCATGGAGAGTGTTCAGAGGAGTTGTTCGGATTAATAATAATAAAAAAGGTGGACAACGCATTCGCCAGCCCTCTGGCATTGAGTGTCCATGGGCGGCAGTATCACTTAACATCAGGTGAGCCTTCTGCCCGTTTGCCCCCTGTTCTATAAAAAAATATATAATTTTAAACTGTTATTATAAGAGATCAGATAACCGCAAAACAATTTAAAAATTTCCGGGATTTAATCTGTTCTGAGTCACATGTGCATTGTTTTACTTAAAGACAAAAAGTCGGTGTCCGTATGCAGAAATCTAATGAAAATATTATTTGCAGCCCAATTGTTCATCAAGTAAGAAACACTTCCGACTGATTTAATTACACAATAAATTAATGTGTAGTGAAAATAGGTGCTATTTCTGTCACCGCTGCATTATATCTTGTTAGAGTCAGTTATTAATTCTACAATCTTATGTAATAATTGGATTCAACTACATATACGATTTCTTATGTTAAGTTTACAATGTACCCAAATAAGCTTATGAATTAATAAAATATCCAAACACAAATATTTGTAGCAAAAAAAGTCTACGAAAAACTCAAACCATTTAAAATAATGTCAGGTATTTATTATACAATATATTTATTATTATTATGTATATTTAAAAAAAATAAGCATGATAGAAGGAAATTTCTTTTCTATTAATATATATGGAAATAAATAATCGCATTACTCAAAAATGTTTTTTGCAATGGTGTAAGAATTTGTGAGTGATTTCTTCTAAAATCACTTTGACTTGTTATTACTGTTCAATGCGCTATATCCTCGTATTCCGGCCTGCTACAGCTTTATCTGCCTCTCATTCATAATTATTTATTGTCACTCAACAATTGTGTGTTAAACAATTATAGTTTTTCTGAAAATGTCCTGGTTAACCAAATAAGCTAGAAAGGTAGTTTGTACACAAAAGTACCTACAGTAAAAAATATGGTTCCGAAACTAATCTTTATGTTAATTACCCATGGCTCAAATTCGTTAAACAGTACTTTATTGCATTGTTTTCTCCTTTACGCTTACTTTTTTCTACCTGGCATCGCTCACGGGTTCAGTGAATGACCTAAGCAACATTGTTCCGTAGGTAATTAGAATCTATGAGTCATACAAACAAAGTTAAATTAATATTAAGGACGAGGTTAACTCAGGAACGTGTTTTACGAGAAAGCAACTGTTCAAAATGATTTCAATTATTTACTATTATGCGCTAAAATTTAAATGTCCATGTTAGTAGCTATTGTCTAGTCAAGATACAGCTACAACCGTTAAGGTGCGAGATTTCTGTATCTGTTCCGTGATAATATCTGATAGGCATGTAGGTGATGAACCTAACACAAACCGTCGAATTTTTCACTAAGGTATGCCGGTTTTCTCTCCGTACGAGCGAGTGTTACGCGCAGATAGAAACAGTCAATTGGCCGGGGATCAACCTACAACTTCAGATAAGAGTGGCACGATGAAGCCAACACTGTTCTAGTCTAGATAGTATGTTCAAATCCCGGTTGTGCACCATATGTTTCAATTGACAGGAATGGGCATGAATTATGTCTTCCTATCAAAAACGTATTGGCTTTTGATAAACGAAAAATACACTTGTATATATATAAATAGATCGATAGAACAGATAGAATTGTGAGATTAAAAACGATAAATAGTTGGAGCATCACTCGGTGGATGAATGGTGTTGTTGGTGAACAGAACATAGCATGTATTGCATAATTTTACGGGCTGGCGCCATTTACTGCCCAGGCGCATTGTTTCGTTCGTAATATCTAATTATAGGTAAAGGTATATAGTTAAACGTTTTATGTCATTTAGTCCTGGTACAGCAGTAGAAATACATGCAGAAGGTAATTTTCATGATTAGCTATGTTTTTTGGTAAATTAAAATTTTTGTTCAATTCAATTGAAATACTAGACGAAATAGATCCGCAACAAACAATTAAAATAGTAGAACTGATGATGTATTTCTGTCTAAAGTACATAACGAAAATAAATGGCCTACTCTCTGTTTAAGTGTCAAAGACTTGAGTTCGGCGCGGGTTGTTGCCTCGCCCAAAATGGGGTCAGCGCGGCTTCCCGGCTGTCGTCAGTGTTCTGCACGCCTTATATTCTAGGAATTAATCAATTATTTACTCTAATCCAACAGGATCTGCTTCTAACGAGGGTAAATTTGTTATTTTACTGCCGCGGAGTGGGTTTAGGGTTAGTAAATAGTGCAAATTTACAACGCTAATCAATTTACGGTTCGTGTTAACTATTCTGCATTTCCTTTATTTTACATGTCTACGCTCGCTACTTGCGTTTTACATACAATTTGAATACTTAACATATTCTTGTATTAAAATATTAATCAATTTAACGGTAATCATTCGACAGCCCAGTTGGCACAGCAATCTTTTTGCACCTGCCAAGAAAGAATATTCAAGTTTCGGATTCCAATGTTGTTAAAAAAAAGTAATTGGGCCTTATATATTTTGTTGCTTGGCTCACGTTAATCTTAAAGGACACCGAGAAGCTCAAAGCTGCATACAATGCAACCATAAATATTGCAAAGTCAGATGACTTTTTACATCGTAAATGGTACTACATGTTCTAAATGCGCTTCAGCAAGTCCCAGCTTCTTGTCTCACACAGATGACAGGACCACTGCGCTCACGCATGTAAAAGACATCTCGATTATCGCCCACATTTGGTTTTACACTCTATGCCTTTAAACATACGAACAAAATTATAATCGCGACGTGGATCGATAGCTTGTTTGTATAGACGGCGACGCAGTTAAAAATAACTATAGCGCATTCGATGCAATGGGATATCCTGACAAATTATTTTTATACATCCCAGTTGCCACCGTATCCGTTTTCCTTAGTATAAATTCATAACTAGATATAGATTAATTAACCTCAAAAGATATCTGTAGCATCTTAAATAAGGGCAAAGTACATCAGTAATATGTACCAAATAATAAACTTAATAGGCATCTCTTCCGCAATTATTTAGATTTTGAATATTTCAAATGAAGAAACAGTAATTAATATATTTCGTATACACAAGCACTGGTTTCTTGTAAATAGAAACTTTGTTTTGTATTGTACGTTGTTTAAATTTATTCGAGAGCACACTAAGAAAACAAATGTGTGACAGCTTTAGTTTTATATCCAAAAGAGATTGTAATTAAATGCTTAAAACGTAATGTTGTTAAATACATAATATCAGATTAATATTTTAATTCGTTATGTTACAATAGAGACAGTTTAATTTTCAAAGTAAATTAATCATTGCCAACATGAACCATTTATTTACAATAGTTTTGGTGGGCCTCATTTTATAATATAAAACTAAACACATTTTATGCGTTTAGGTAAACGTGTTTCTATAGCCCAGTACAGAATCTCCTACTATAATAAACTACGACGAAATCTGAATAAAAAAATGTTTTAGTACATGTTTTACTGGTAAATAAAAAACGAAACACATAAGATAATATAATAAAAAAGAACAGCATTGTTTATAGCGATGTTTTTCAAAGTAAATTGTATTGCAACCTATTTTCTAAAACGGTATTTTCGTATAAATATGGGATAATGACCGTAGAACGCGTTAGTGGAAAAACAATCTAATTTGGAACCTAATTACTGTATTTTAAGACATACTTACTTACTGACAACGTTGGTACTATTCATTTGGCTTGCGAAAGAGCAGCATTGAAACGAATTTTAGGTCGTACAGAAACAGATGTGATGAACAATTAAAGGGGACATGACAAGAGTAAAAGCCATACAAATTTACATTACCTGTATTGGATGGATACCTCTATTGGGAATTCATGGGGAAAGTATTAATAATAAGTGAAATTTATGCATACTTATTTTATTTCTAAAGAAAGTTGTGTTGAGTGGAATTTATGCGTGTAATTATCACTAGATATTAGGTTATATCTAATTATAGTCTTTTCGTTAGGAATTCTTTCTGCCCCAATTGGGTATGGACCCACTTTCCTCTTGAAGAAACAAAAGACGAAAGAAACCCCATGGTTTGGGACATTTCTGAGTCTATTTTATTTATATTTTTAAGACAAATATTAATCAGCGTTTTGTGCTTACTCGGTAACTCGATTGGTAATTTACCAATGTTTCGTCGGAAATTGAAAACAGGGCCTGCGTGCCTTATGCGCTAGCCACTATAGCTTATATAGATATGTTTATTTTATATGATGTTACGAGAACTTATAAAAGAAAAAATCGTGTAATTTATTTTGTTGAAAAAATGTATATACTCGTATATTAATAGGATTGAGTCTACTTTGTTCTTTTATTTAATTTTTTTATTACGAGAAGTTAATACGTAGGGCGGTTTTAAATCATCAGTAAACAAACTCCCTATTTCTATTTTACGGTTATTGTGTGGCTAGTTGTCAACGAAAATTCACATTCACAAGCCAAACAACTGAGCAACGTGAACGTTTGGTGTATTTAGAAAACTCAATAAATAAAACGGAAGCGGCACATGTTATACGAATTAAATCGACGGACAATCTTAAATAATTACGTTTTACTACTGAACTTGACACACATCTGAACAATGTTTGTCAGCAATTTAAAAACAGAAATAACGTGTATAATCATGTACATTTTTATATTAAAGTCTACGTCTTGCTGCTCATCAAATCATTTAAAAAGTACAAAACATAATGTTTAATCGCAAGAGAGCTTATGTGGGCAAATTTATTACAAACTTTTTGCAAATACAAGGAAATTGTGAGCTATGAACATATTCTAGTAAGCATCAGTGATACTAAACCCGCAGTTGTTTATGTTTCATATTTCAAAACCTTTGAAAAGACCGCGTCATATTAAATTCTATATCACTGAAAGAATTTTACCATATTTCCAAGTAATGTGAAACCTAATTAATCATTACGGTTCTATAAGCCTTCTCACGCTTATGTTACTTTTATAATTATACTGATAAAATATAGTTTAAGTATTTGAGGTTTAAAATGCGTTCAGTGTAAGACTCTGTTACGATACGATAGTTATTATTTTAGTCATATAAAACTTTTAAATCAAATGTTATTGCATACTTTCTGTCTTACAAACGCGAACACTAAATTTCATTCCTTGATGTAGGTACTATAAACGTGTGGGAGACGAAACTAAATCACTATGATGATATGGAGCATACATATTTATATCATTTATATGTATGTTCCATATAAAATTGTTTATATCAAGTTTAGAAAGAATATAAGGAAATATACTAACCTGTTTTGCAGGTTATGCGCGTGAGATGCAAGGCGGGCGGTCGTCGACTGGGCGGGCGGCGGCGTCACCCCTCGTCCGACTCTAGTCTCGTTTTATTCTGTTCGAAAACTTCATCGAAAACGAGACTGTTTAGACGAAATTTACTAACTTGTGACCGCTTGCGATCCTTCCGGATATATCTTAGGCACCATTTTATAATTCATTATCATTTATTATAAATAATTATTATATTAGACATTTAGATGTATCCTGATTGTACACAAAAAACGCTTCAAGTCTTAAGGTAAGTTTGTTGACATAAGATTTTTGTATAGCCAGGTAATTGTTAAAACAATGAAACGCATAGGTCATGGTATATAATTTTTTAATAAGGAATAGTAAAACAATCAGATAATTATTTCTATGAACTTTCTTTCTTGTTCTTTTAAACTTATTTAAACTCTGCCAATGTAGTAGTAATAAATGTATTATTCTGATATGTTCTGTTTCTTAAAGTGCCTTTACCTTCGAGAGGTTTGGGGGCATTGAAACAGTTTTCAAAAAGCAAATGTGTTAGATAAAAATCTATTTAAACTAACTATTCTTTCCTCTGTCATAATCAAATTAAATGCGCATTTTCTTCTGTCCATTAACCGACTTATCAATGGTCGGTAAATTTAAAGAAATTATAAAAATACTTAAATATTTAAAATTTCAACTTTCAAACATTTATAATGTTGTCGAGTTATTGTGTATTTTTGTAGCGTTCGGTACAACAAGGTACCATGAGGTTCCAATATATTAATAACTATATATAATAGGCCTCCGGCCTTTTTGGTAGAAAGCTGATTCGGGCTGCTCATCTAATAATTGGTTTTAATTTCTTAAAGTAAAGGTACTAGTTAGTTTGTTAAATTTACCAAAAATTTACGTTTTCACTTCATTTATATAGTATGTGTTGGGTTTGATCTTTTCGTTTAAGTATTCTAGTATACTATAATACTAGAATTTGTCAATATTTCGAAGCATATTGATAGTAACCGCAGTAAATCGATGCTAAAGACAATATCTCGAACATTCCAGAAGTCTATTTATATATTAATGTAATACATGAAAGTGCGAGTGTCTTGTCTGATGAACTGATCATTTCAATAAAAGGGGAAGTGGAATAAATTTAACGGTTAGTGGAAAGGGAATGGAAATGTTATTAACAAAACAATTGGTACGTCTTATTCAATTAATTTTGTAATAGTACAACTAGAATTTTCAACAATAATGTGTAAAGTTTAGTGATTGCTGAAAAAATATGAAAAAGAGAAATTTATTAAAGAAAGCATCGGTTACAACTAGCATAGAACCTTATCTATAGTTAAGGTATTTGTTTACTTAAAATACTTTTGTTTTTCAAGCAAACAAATATATACTACTACTAAAAAGCATTTTTTTACATTACATAATATCAATAATAGTGCAAATATATTTTATGTTTAAACTGTACTTTCGTAATTTATTAACTATTCTTTTTGAAAGGAAGACTACTTTGTGAAAGGAAATCGATCGAATAAACAAATTTACTTGTATTTTGGTTAGATTTGATTTATTTTTTTTGATCCTCAAGGTTTCATTCTGATACATCTATCGCATGTTCATACTTTATATTATTTGGTCGTTTAATATACCATTTTCCATTGAACGAATGATTAGCGAAATACTGTGTATAGACGTATTTTCTTTATAATACGACTAGCTGTGCTCTTCAGTCCCACTCGCGTTAATTTGGTAGTAGCATGTGGTTCTTTAGCCTAAAGCTTTCCCCTGTAAATGGACTTTTAAATTTTTTCTTTAAAACCACTGATTTGACCGCGTTTAACAAAGCAAGCAGACATAAAAGCTCTTTAGCTTCATTAAGTATTAATTTACACTTTAACCTGAGGGAGGATTTAGAACTATTAACCAAATTTTTCGTGTTTATCCTCTGTTGAAAATAAAACCTCTAAATAAAGTCTCTTAAACTTAAAATTCAAATAAAAACTTTTTAATCGTATTTCCAATTTGAATAAAACATAATATGAAGGCTGTTGTAGTGTATGTAGCCTTGAATACGAAACGTTATTTATTAGAATAAAGATTAATATCAAGATAAGAATAATATATTACAAATTATCAAATCTTTCATTTATATAATAATAGTGTATATAAACACCAGCACAAATAGCTGTAAAGTTACTGTATTTTTTTGTCAGGCGTAACATAATTGTTTATTAACTATTAATCAGAAGAATGTTTTGTTTAAGTTGTCTCTCAAAGAAATTTCATTTTTTTAAATGTAATAATTTAGTGTAATGATACGTTTTAATATAGCGCCTACTAAGTTGCTATTAGCAATTAATGTACTTAGTCTACTTGAAGTTTTTACTAAAAAGACATTAATAGTTAACTTTCAAATTATCTAAAAGTTTGTTATTTACAAAAAGTCAGGAACTTAGAAGCTAACAGAGAAAACTTAGCAATCGATTCTCAAGCTGCTTCCTAACCCCGTCTCTGAATGAATAGATTTTTCTTTGTATGTGCGCAATAGTACTCTGATATATGAGAATTAACCAGAATGAGATAATAAGTTCGTAGAGGAATTATAGTTATGACTATGTAAAAACCCAGAAAAGAAGCTCTTAAAACAAAATCTAATCTTAAATGTTCATATCATTGGAATGCGAGATACAGATAAACTAGCGCTACTGTAAATATACTATTGTTCAGTAGAGAGAAAAAAACTCAAACAAAACTTTAACAAACTTTGTAATCATATTATAAACTGCAATGAATAATTATTTTATTTTTATTCAAATGAAACTCCTTTCCCTTTTGTATTTTTATTTTTTACTCTTTAACATAAATAGCATTTATTTTTAAAATTAATTAAAGTTACAGTTACAAACGTATTTTAAGTATATATCGCACAAATAATAAATATAAAATAGTTTCTTCATTGTACCTAGTACGGTTACGTACGTAGCGCCGATGACTTATCTAAAAGTAATATGAAAAGCGTTTGGGTTTTTTGGTTCCTTTATTTCAATTAATTAGAATAACAAAAATTGGGATGAACGATCGACGTCAGGCTGAAGCGAAGTAAAGACACTGCTGTGATAGGGCGGGCCACGGCGTAGAGCATCCATCCCGGACGTCCTTTTGTTGCAAGATGGCGCCAGCAGACATTTCGTCTACTGTCACTATCTATCGGAACTCAAACATCACTTATCGAACGACTAGGCTTAACCCGACCGGAATTGTGCCCCGCGATGTTGGTGAGAAATGCTGATGAGGCGGGGCTAAAAAAGAGGTCGCTCACTCTGTGCTGAGTGCGCGCGACTCTTGCACTAAGTAAACTTGTGAGCCAGGTACGGTGGAGGTGGTAACAAAGGTGCGGTGCTTGGCGCGGATGAGAGAGAGGTTGCTCTCAGCAGTGTCAGCACGGTCTTCAGCGGCTTCAAGTTCACGCTGGAATCGTCGGACCCTTGTGACACTCTGTTGAGACATACCCTCCTGAAAAGCAAAATTAAAAATTTTAATTTCTATTTAGCTCTAAACAATAAATTAACATTTTTCACGTATGTGGTGGCATATTTAGCAAATTTTGTATTTTCTCTTTACCTGTTCAGTCAACTGCCTCTTGTAGATGTTGACCTTCTGGCTGCATTTCTCCAGAGAGTCTTGAAGGAGAGTGATGTTCTTCTGGTCTTCTTCACATTGGATCATGATCTCCTTGACTTGACGTTCCTTCTTGCGCAGAATTTTGATGGTCTCGGCGTGTCTCCTCTTCTCCTCATCCAGTTCAAGTTCCATATCCTTGAGGCGAGCCTCCAGCTTGCTGATGATGCGCTTGCCACCGACAATGGCATTAGCTTCAACTTCTTCCAAGCGAACGGAAATGTTCTAAAATATAAAGATTAGTCATTGTTTTGTTTCTTTGCGTTATTAGGTTAAGCAGTTACGGATGTTAAACTCTTCATGATTTCTTATTTACTTTATAAAATACACAACATTGTGACGTTGTTTAGTATATTTCGTTTTAAGAAATATGTTCTTACGTCAAACTCAACACTCAAACTCAAAATAAATTTATTCATATACCTAGGTAACCAAGTACATATATGGACGTCAACAAGATGTTAAATTGATTCAAAATTTACATTTACTACTGGCAAGAAACTCTCCGCCACTCTTTTTAAACGCTAACTTTTGAGTCATACAAATTGTAGGAACTGGAGCAAATCAATCCTAAGGATTAGGAACATTTAAATAATCATTTACATTATTTAATCGTCAAATTTATAAAAAGCGTTATTGATTAATTTACCTTTAACGAGAGTTTTGAATTTATTCAGTGATAATTCTCTAATTTCGCTTGGGAAACGCTTCGCTTTCGCGCGTCATGCTACATATGTTCGGCTACGTCAGGCTTTAATAACGGCACTCGTTGAGTTTGATTTACAACATAGTATATTCAACATAGAGTAGAATCACAATATTATAACGCCTTACCTTGACTTCAATTTCAAGAGACTTCTTGATAGTCTCGATCTTCACGATTCTCTCTTGCTCTTCGTGCAAGTGCTCAACGGTGTGCTTCAGCTCGGTCTAGAGGAGTAAAAGAAACGTAAAGTAAATCAAGTATTACAATATCTCTAATTTAGTCTAAAATTTAGATTAAAGAAATATAGACCTGCACACGCTGGTAACGTTCATCAGCAATACGCAACTCCTTGGTGATTTCATCGTAGTCAGCGGCAACAACGGCCAATTCTTGCTCAATCTTGGCTCTGCTGCTAGACAGGTTGACGTTGATGACAGTCAATTCGTTGATGCGTGTCTGGGCTTCTTCAAAGGATTGTTCTACAGTGCGCTTAGCACGAAGAGCCTATAATAAATAAATAAAAATGTTTATAACTCCCCAAACAAAATTAACATAATAACAAAAAAAAAATAGCGTGATCTCCTTCTAGGATTACCTGTTCGTAATTGCCACGGATTTCTTCGACCTCACCAGTAAGAGATTGAATTCTACGTTGAGCAACACCGTATTGGTCAAGAGTGACTTGCAACTGCCTTTGAATCTCGTCATAGTGGGTCTGGATCTCAGTCAGCTAAAAAACAACAACAACATATGTAATTAATATTATTCAAATATACTGTCTTTGTATCGCACAAATATTTGGTTATTTGTTATAAGTTAGCACCTGCAGAGATTGTTTCTTGATGGTCTTCTGCAGATCAATGTTGGTCTTGTTGGCAACATCAAGAGACAGTTCTAGTTCAGTGATCTGGATCTGCAGCTTCTTCTTGATACGGATGACCTCGGTCTTGAGCTTGGTTTCAGCTTCAACGACACGAGCGTTCAGCTGTTCAATCTCAATGCTGGTCTGCTTGCTGTAGAACAAAAAACGTAATTCACAACTGCACTCTTAGTTCACTAAATTATTTATTATTTTACCTGCTATGATCTAAAAGACTCATATCTAGTTTGTCAAATTGTTTTATAGTTTCTTTTAGCTCATTTAGTTTTTCGACATATTCGATATTAATACTCGGAATTTCAGTTTCGATTTGGACAACACACACTTTAGGAGATATATCATTATATGTTTTTATAGATTTTATCTTAAAATCAGTACTTAAGTTTTCCGTTAAATCTAAAGCTTGGGGACGCTTTAATACAATAGGTTTTGATTCTCCCCATTCGCCATTAATCGTGATATTCTTGTCCTTTAAGTTTTTTTTCATCACTGTGCTTACATTCTGCATACTTTCATCAAGTAAAGTTTTTGCAATAGCATTAGCAGATTTGCCCCTATATATTTTAGCCTTTGATTTAAGATCCGCTTCAATGTCAGTTTTAGAGTCCAGTTTAGCTAACTGTCTTTCAAATTCATTCAGCGGTTTATAATTCCTTTCATTTTTTATATTTTCTCTATGTTCCTTCTTCTTTTTAGTTTTTAATGTTATACTTTCAGATTCAACGTGTTTTGTTATATTAGCTGCAGCTGCTGTTGCAATAACTGAAAATGGTGATCTTTTTCCAACACTTACTGAGTTGAGATCTCTCTTGGCCTTTGCTGCTACGTCCTGGGATATTTTTCTTAAATCGTGTTCAGAATATGTTTTAACTGGTTTGTTGAACCTATATTTTTCCAGTCCTCTTTCATTATTCCAGGGCAAATGTGGTGGCTTGACGGATTCCCCTTGCTGTTTTGCATTAATGTAGTCAATCATAGGTTGGTAGAAATTTATACCGTATCCATAATTATCTTCATATATTGCAGTCGGAGGTTTCGTCCATTTATAATCCACTTTGACTGGCGGCATAATTGACTATGCAATAATTATTTGCAATACCAAGAGATGATTCCTTTCTTCGACTAAGATCAATAATCACTGCCGTCGATTGATCAAATTTGCAGATGCAACAAGTATTGCCAAGCACCATATTTGCGTAGCGCTGAGATTGGCCAACTAGAGATGTCTCTAAATTTAGATGGGAAACTTGCCAATTTGTAAATATTATTTCTTAATGAAAGCTTGTTCATTTTGCAAAGAACACCGCATATCATCAATTTAAAATCAATTTATAAATAGATCTGAGCGGTTTATTCTGTCTATTTTAAATTGAGTTCCGGATAGATTAAGACGTAAACGAATAGATTTTTCCATAAACTAAGAAAACGGATAGCAAATTTAAGCTAAAAAATACATTCATTCGAAAACTATATAGTATAGGAATTTACAGTTAAATACATACCGAATGGATTCGATTTCCTCATCCTTCTCCTGGAGGCGGCGCTCAGCCTCATGGCGGAATTGGCCAAGATCAGAGGCCAACCTTTGGGCCCGTTGCTCTTCAGCTTTACGGCCCTAAAAATGCGTGTCGTAAATGTTAAGACTTGTAACTAAGCAATCTTGAATAATAAGCGATATAAAGAAATCAAACAACGTATAATAATAGTATAATAGTGATTCATATAACAATCTACTATTTACTCGCTTCATTGACATTCAGAGTTCATCATGTGACTCTCAAATTAAAAGACATTTTTATTGTTAATATTTAATTTAATTTGTCTTTCTGAGAATGTCTTTAGTATAGTCACATTGAACCCACGCGTATTTCTAATGAACACGAGCAAGTGCAGTGATACAAGTTGCCAACATTTATCTATCGTCAATTCTAATAAATACATTCTTGCGTTTAATTTGTTTTTGATGACATCATGTTGTAATGTGTGTAATTATCGTTGTCTATTTTTACTACTGTCTGTTATACACCTGCTTAGTTGAATGTATATATATTACGCACATAAACCTTAAGAACGATTACTGCTTAACGAATGACACTAGCCAAATAATTTTCCGGAAACTATACCCTATTTACAAGAGTCAAGCATATACTCACAGCCTCAGCCTCCTTGTATGCAGCGGTGAGTTCCTCTCGCTCGTTCTCAAGACGGCGCAGCTCGATCTCGAGCTCGTGAAGACGGCGGGTCAACTCCGTAACAGTGGCGCGGGCGTCGTGCAATTCATCTGAAAAAACAAATAAGGTGTCGTCAGTGTTTTTTTATAAATATTTCTTACTCTAATGTACCACAAAGTCTTGAGATTTTGTAGATTGTCTACATACGTAGGTGTTCCAAAATCGAAATTAATTGTACAGTTTTTTACTTGAGGTAAGTTCACTCTCAAGAAACGTCTATGTGAACTGCTAGATTGGTATGTTGTATATTGATTTAGTTTCTATTGGAAAAATATTTTTAGATATATGCAGAAACATGCAAATACTTGTAACACCTACCACCCAGCTTCTTGTTCTCGCGACCAAGAGAATCTTTCTGTTCGCGGGTCTTGTCTAGCTCGTGGCTGATGCGTTGAATCTCAGTCTGCTTGATGCGGAGGTCTCGCTGGCTCTGCTCGTACAACTGTACTGTCTCTTCTAGCCTGGACTTGATCTCGATATTCACACGCTCAAGTTGGTCAGTTCTCTTTTGTAACTCCCGGGCAGTTCCGTTGGCCTTCTCCAAGTCGATTATGAGCACTTCAACCTGGGATAGTAATTTTTTAATCAGTCACAGTTATTTAATATATATATATAAGTATGCTATAAAGTAGCAGTTACGGTGAATAATAAATTATAATATTTACGTATATTCAATATAACGAGAGATATTTATTGCCATTTCATACCTCACTCTGTAGACGAGATTTCTGCTTCTCAACGCTGCTGATCTTGGCAATGAGAGTTTCGATTTGTTCTTCTTGCTCCTGGATGCGGATGGAGTACTTGCGACGGATCTCTTCAATCTCTTCGGCTCTGGCAGCAGCCTCAGCCTCAAACTTAGATCTCCAGTGCTGTACTTCGCCACTGGCCTTCACAAGCTGACGTTCAAGGTCCAAACGAGCCTCAGACTCCTCTTCTAGTTGGACGCGGACGGATTCCAAGTCGATTTCAACCTATCAAATATTGTCATTATTACCGTTGTTTTACTTAAAAAAGTATAATGGAATTGTATTAGTACATACTTGGTGAAGGTTGGCTTCAAGAATAGAGCGCCTTCTCTCATCATCTTCGAGCCTGCGACGCGCGTCCTCGAGCTGGCTGATAACCTGGCTCTTAAGGTACAGTACGTTTTCGATGTTCACCTAAAATACGAAAATTTTGATAAAATTTATTTACACAATGTACGACACAATTTACACAATTTAAGCATGTATAGTAAACTTTTTACCTTAAGGTCCTGAACTTCCTTGACGAGCTCAACGTTCTCCTGAGACAGGCGCTGCTTGTGCGACGTAATGTCCACAATGGTGCGGTTAAGTTCTTCAATTCTTACATGAAGTTCGCTGACGGTGATTTCCAGCCTTTCACATGTCTTAGAGATTGTGATCTTTTCCTTGGTTATGTTCTCCACTTGGGCCAAGAGCTCGTATACTTCAGCCTGGAACTTAGACTTCTCTTTCTCGGCCCTGTTGACAATGAAACGAAAATGCAACCAATGGCACAGCTATGTCAAGAATGTGATACAAGATGGATAATAGAAAGTATAATGGTGTACAGCACAGCTTTACATGAAAACAAATAGTTCGCAGCCGCCCTTAAGTAAAACTATACTAAGTATGAGTTAGTAGATGACCATACAATGCAAAATGACAGTGAATGAGCGTTTTTCCTTACCTGCTTTTGCTGTGTGTAAGTTTGTCAATCTGTTCCTGGAAGTCGACAACGATTTCCTGGTGCTTCTTCTTGAGTAAATGGGCTGTTTCCTCAGATTCGAGATGAACATCTTCTAGAAGCTTACGAAGCTTGGTTAGCTCCGTGTCTCGTTTTCTGTTGATCTCGAACTGAAACAGGTAAACAGCGATTTCAAATTACGTGCCCACGTCCTATTTAAAATTGGGTACGAATTTGATTTAAAAAGCGACAATGGTTTAAAATGTAAAATAAACATTATATATAATATATTAATGATATAAAATAAACTTTATTGTGAAGTATTTAAAAAGTTATGTAAAACCTCTTGGCGATGTCGACATCATCATTAAGATGACAAAGACCTGAAATAAAAACAGTTAACAAATTGTGGATAAAAAAATCGCATATGCACATTTAAAACAATTCGCTTGGCATGTATAAAACTATGTATAAAATTGACAAATATAATCGGGAATTAGTATCATCGTTGATCCAGTGTTCACATTTTTAGCGTTCCAATTATTCTTGCTTTTTTTCATCTAAACTTTTCAGTGAATGAGTTCTTCATTAAATTCTTCATATCATCATGTTCTTATCTCGTTTAATTTATCCGATCCTCGTATAGCTTCTTTGCTGAAATACCTATAAGATAATAAATAAATGTAAATAGTCTATTACCTGACTCTCAGCTCCACCTTCAGCCTCCTCTAGCCTCTCCGAGAGCTGGATAACTTGCACGCTTAAGTCCGCCTTCTCTCTTTCAATCTGTAAATATTAATTTGATTCATTAAACATTGTTCCATGGAAACTTTAAATAAACTTTTACAGCAATGTAATAAACATTAGTAAGCTACAAAAGTTGTAAAATCTAAAACGATAATTTTTATTTAAAAATTAAGTTAAAAATAAGTTATATACCGGATTATGTAACAGTTAAATATTAAAAATAATTAATCAAAGATATGAGATTACATCTTGTTTATATTGTTTCACACAATATTGAAAAGCAGCTGAAGTGTGCGTTCTTGAGTAATCCGGATATTTTAGCTGGTAATTTCCAAATCTATTATTGTATTTGAATATAGTGGCAATCTCAGCGAACAAACATCTTTTGGCCCAGTTTCAAAAGTGAGACCGAAGAGCGAAAAGTTGAAGTAGAGAATGCATACTTGGGTGGCTAAATATACCACATAGCGTAAGACCGAGTAGCGACAAACCAGTAACCACAAGTCGGGAGCTATTCAACGGGCGCCCTCAGCGTGCGTAGCGCGTTATGAACGTGCTACGTGCAAAAATAGATTAGGCGGGCCTCGGCCGAACGAACACTACTAAGATATGAATGATCTATGATAGGATTTTAATGTACATTTCAGTTTTTTTAACTTTCAAGATAATTTTTGATCTAAAGGAAAACTACATACATTGATAGGAAACCAGTTGCTTTTTATTAAAATATATATGTATATTAGGGGGAAGTTATTACTAAAATATTTGTTTTGATATTTAATATAATAAAGGGACTTATTACATAAAAAAATTCTCAAAAAAAAATTCATAATCTCTGTTAATTAAGGATTTTCTATTCCTGAACAGCTAGACTGTGATAATTTTCGCTTAGGTCGGGCTAAAGTTAAAATCGTCATTACATTGGGTCATTACATAATTATGTTAGTATCATGCACATATCAAGCTTAACTTTTTAAAATAAAATAATGACAATAATTATGCGTATTGATAATCCAAGGGCATTCCGCAGGCATAGGCAGGTAAGGCGGAATATTTAGGGCGGCGGTATTAATAGAGGTATCGCGCGCCGTCCCGCCCACACCTGCGCCGGCGCGCCTGCTATGGCCGCGCCGATCGCTCATATCACATTTCTCGCGTACGACCACTTACCCTCTGACGTAGCTCCCTTTCGGATTCCAGGTCATCATGGATGAGACGTATCTTGTCCTGAAAAGAAACATATTCTATCATGTATCCGCAAACACTTCACAAACACTGCACTGATCGAAGGGCCGGTACCTCCAGCCTGGAGAGAGCACTCAGGTCGGCGCTATACTCGATGTTAACGTCGGTGGTGCCGCCGCCGCTGCTGCGGTAGGTATACTTGGAAGTTTTCGCCACGGCGGACATTGTCGCTGGTTCGTCTCTCGGTCGGCAGTCGGCGCTACGTTACCGGTCGGGCACCGTTCGACTAGTGAGAGCGGGAGCGGGCTGCGTGCACGCACCAACCGCTCCGCGCCTGCGCCCCGCTGCCCGGATCCCCGCACCCCGCGCGCCGCCATCGCTGCTGCTCCAGGGCGGCCGCGGCGTGCCGGCTGGAGCTCACGGATCGTGTTACCACCCCCGCGCACCCCTCTGTCGGCCTTTTATAGACACGCCCGCCTTAACGTCTTCGTACTTCTCTTTTATTTGTTTTGCCCAAAAAATTGGCAAATTTCACTCTCATATCGCATGCGAGGTGTGGCGCCATACGAAACGAATGAAAATTATCTTTGTATCTTTGTCTAGCTGAATTCTTGTCGGGATCTGGCACCGCCTTGATCTACACAGCTATACGATCTACATTAAATCGATTGAACTTAACAATGAACTTCTTGTACTTTTAAATCAATCACAAAAGTCTGGATCGAACGTAGAAGTTGTTTACAAACATCAATCAAAGTGTAGTAGGTGAGGATCAAGTAACATTATAACTTTCAATCAAATGAATAAAGATTATTGGCATTTAACGCTTTACTAACCTACGTTCATATTCGTAGGAGTTTTATCGTAGATTGATAAAATTGTTCATGAATTTTAATCATGGTTTTATGTCATCCAGGTTACGAAAAAGATGTATGTTTTGACGTTTCATGGTTAGTAGTTATAAATATTTTGCTGCAGGCATCACATTAGAATTGCCTATATTGTCTTACTATTTTGTGCTATAATTATACTTATAAAAGTATTAACATATTTCATGAATCACCATCTAAGAACTTTCGAAGAAATTCTATAATGACAGCCACTATATTATTAAAACGTGAATATTCTACGTATAATTGAAATGTCAAGTATATTTAAGAAAGCCGGAGATAACATGACTCATTATTTATCATTGCTCTATTTCAGTTTCACGCAGTACATTCACGTAAAAAATACTCAAAAATTATGAGTAACCGTTCAAAGATAGGCTCAAGGCAAATAGGCTTTATGTTTAAATAGCTTTAAATCAATGATCTGAGCAGAATGGTCACGTTACTGTCTAAACTTATTTAGAACATAGTTGATGGCAAAGGAAAAAAGTAAAAAATATTTTTATATTATACAATTTAGTATTAAAAATTGACAGCGCCTATCTGACTTCTTTCAATAACAACACCCATCTTCCTCTCTACTTCGAGTTCAAGTGTTTTTCAAAATAACACGAGAGATTGTCGTCTCTCGGTTCAGTGTCGTCTTTATTCTTTTTTCTCATTTTTTTGTATGCTGTTCCAAAGATACACCCAGATCTCTACTAGAAAATCGTTTGATGTGTAATGAAGGGTATTAAGACCTACAGTGTTACCACGTTCCACAGGATTTATATAATAGCATTATTTACTTTTTTCTCTCTTCAGTTGTTTAGCGGAAAGCAAGAGGGGCCAACAAAAACTATACGTCATGAAATATAGGAAATATTCAGAACGAGGAGAACAATGCAAAAAACACAAATTTGGTTCATCTTCAATATAAGTATTTTTAATTACGTTTTCAACTGTTCGCATTCCCATTTCCAGGGGCGACGCAGGTGGATGCGATATTCGTTTATATTTGTGCACCTGTGAAGTAGACCAAATGTTTTCCGTGTACCTCTCGCCTCTCTTGCCGCTCCGCGATGAATCAGCGCGCAATTTTGAAATAATCGCCAGAAGTTTCACGAATGAAACTGCTCTGGGGATTTTATATAGTTTAGGTAATCTATTTATTATGAATTTTTAAGCATACTATGCTACCATGCATAGTCGATCGTTTTTTTTATTTAACAGTTAGGTAAGGTTTTTAAATGTAGAAGCAGAAGCCTTTATCACTGTAGTCTTATAATTTAGTCCAATTAAAAAGTTTAAGCACTTATACTTAAATATTGTATTCGAAATAAATGGAATGTAAAACCATTCATGTGTAAAATATACATAATTTTGCTAAAATAAAAACAATATAAATAAATATTTCAGAATAATATTATACATTATAATTTTAAAGATTAAATGCACAAACTAATATTGAAATGTAATAACACCCAATGCGCAAGGGATAGACACCATTCACTTCAGAGATACCTATTTTTAAAGCGGCTAAACCTTTAGTGCTTACCATCCCGAAACAGCTGGGTATGAAATCCTGAACCTATTAGGGTAGTCTACATTTAACCTATCAGCCGCGAAAAAATCTCAACGAAAACGGTAAAAGTGGTTTCTGCTTTAAATTAGGTGAATATCGCAATCGAAATACCAAAGCGTGAAATCAAACCGTATTGTTGGTATTTTTACGTCACATAAATAACTGGGATTGTTGGCAGAGGCGGCGGTGACTCTTTTATGACTGTATCGGGTATAGAGTTTTAAATAACTTTATTGTCTGTTAAAGCGACGACTAGCCTAATTTTCCCAACACATTGAAAAAATTATTTAGGTCTAGGAACAAGGATACAATTTCAACAGTTATCTAGAAAAGAAATAACCAAGAAGGTCGCTACATTACAAGTATTCATGGTATATATAGCGAATCAATATACCCTCATTATATAGTATTAAATATCTTCGCTTTAGTAATAGTCCGGTCAATTTAGAGATAAAAGTCGTGGTCAAATAACAATAATTCCTGGAGAGCCAAATATTGGTGGAGAGCTGGGGTTTACCATTACAAATATAGTTTTAAAAATCCCCATCGATCCTATGTGTGCTACGAAAGTTATTCAGGGTCAAAGGTCAAAATTTGAGGTGTTTTGATTTTTTCTCGAAAACGGTAAGTTTATCAAAAAAAGACCCAAGCCAAAGTTGTAGATCTTAAAAATGGTCTTTAAGATTTTTTCCTAACCATGCCTGAGATACCGTGATTATATATGCACACATTTCCACGCCCCTGTGAGGTACCGTACAAGGCGCGTTTTTTTAGCGTGGTTGCCCCTGTACTCCACTGTCATGACAAGTTTAGGGAACAATACCCGTCAAGTTCTAGATATTACCTTATTATTGATATTGCTATTGATTAAGTTACGTGTTGATTTGATTTCTTTAAATACTTTTATCAGATTCATACCTTTAAGTAGTCAACAATTATATCTTCTTCGATTTCTTCTTTTTTTTCTTCCTCTTGCTGGATGTTCATAAATTGTTCAAATGTGGCCGAGTCATTGGTCTCAATGTTTTATTACACTAATGTTTGGCTCTCCGGGAACTTTTGTTATTTCAAATGTCTATATTTACCGGACTATAAGGTATACAAGCAAGACATAAACCTGAAAAAATGTTTATTCAATTAAAAAAAAAATGTTAATTATGGAACATAAGATACAGGTATCACTTATTCCACGTCATTAAATTTGAATCTGTAGGCATAGAAGGCAAAGAAGACAGGTGGTGTAGGCCGACGCCGAGTAAAAAGCCGGCGTAAAGACCTCTCGTTACTCTTTTAAAATAGCAAATCATCAAACAACACTTATTTTAAAACAAATATCGCAAATTAATTAGAAGTAGCCTGTCTAGCACTAGTCCCAGGCCCTTTTATCGACTAGATATTCTAGACTAGATTAACTTTATAGTAAGCCTTTTTACACAGCTTTTCTTTGATACATTTCTGAAATTTATTTAAAGGCAGAGATAAAAGGGTCTCTGGGATTTTATTAAAGAGTTCTAGGGATGCATCCGATACCGATGCCGATACCGATATATCGGCGATATTTTCATTGCCGATTCACCGATACTTTTCAAATTTCACGCTTTAAAAAAATCATGTAAACGCGCATTTTGTATGATCTAGTTTGTTGCAAACGAGCCACGGACTATTGTTGCCCGAGAAATCCCCGAGTTTTATTCAGTTTGTTGTCTCAGTTTGTCATTCGCTTGGGGACAAAGCATTATTATTTATGTATATATGTATTTCATTTCGCTAAACACTATTTATTTATTAACACTTTGTTGCATTACAAAATTAAACATAATTTAATGAAAAGGAGGGCAAAAATACATATAACATATAAACTAAAAAAGTCTACATGAAAAATAAAAAGTGCACATGAATCACGATAATTTACGATCAGACTCACGTCAGTTAGTAGATAGTACTACTAACTGACGTAATTTTTACTCGAGTCCCTATCCTATCTATATACCTATCTTTGCCAGCGCATAGTTATTAGATATTATGGCTTGCGGGAGATCATTGAGACTTTATTGAACGTAGATTTGAAGATCATTTAGTTGGCTTTTAACCGCTATCGCGAGTAGTATTTTTTCGATACCAAATTTAATAAAATACAGAATTACAACAATGTTATCATCGTTTTCATTATTAACAGTTATTTATTTTATTGTAATTTAATTATTACTCTTAATTCTTAATTTTAGTAACAAAACCTTTAAAATTATTCAAAGTTTGTGACTATAATATTGTATATATGTATATTTTTTTTAATAAAAATTATAAACTTTAACATCAATTGATATATTTTACCTTAATTTAATTATAATTCAATAAGCGTTGGTATCGGTATCGGTATCGGTATCGACGATATTCCTATAAGTGTATCGCATCGGTATCGTATCGGCAAAAAAGCGTATCGATGCATCCCTAAAGAGTTCCCTTTCCCAAAAAATAATTACTAACTTTAGATAGTCTAGTACGGGGAAATTGCAGCCTGCGTTTGTTCCGAGTATTAACATTGTGCGTATGTTCCATTTTAGTAAACGTATCGCTATTTTTGTATACATACATAATATTTTCATAAATATATTGCGAGGGAAAGGTAAGTATATTAATTTCCTTGAATTTATCTCTTAGAGATTCCCTACATTTTAAATTATAGATTGCACGAATAGCCCTCTTCTGCAGGATGAAAATAGTTTCGACATCAGCAGCATGACCCCATAATAATAAGCCATAAGTCATTAAGC